GAGCCGCTTAGTCGCGAGGCTGCGTGGCGCGTCCCTAGGTGGTGGAGGTCCGTTAACCGCAGACCAAAAGCGACATTTGCTTCCCTTAGAAGCAGGTGGATCCAGGAGATAGACTCCCTCTTTCTGCTGCGCTGATTTGGCACATACTTTCTGTATTTAAGAGGCGTATTCATGCACGCGTGTGTGGGTGCGTTCTAGTTCATGCAGATTGTATTCTACGAGTCAATTCGGCCAAAAGCCTTCAATCAAGTGACAGAGGTTATGCGAGGCGGTTAGGAGTTGCCTCCTTCCATGTGCACTCTGGGAGAGCCTGACAAACTACCTGTGAGTATACCCAGCCCCACGTTCAGACCCCAGCAAGCTATACGTGGGTATCAAAAAGCTAAAACCAATAAAAGAAACGGGCCTCATACCTCTGACCGCGAAAGAGCACCCAATTCAGCAGCGTTGGCTAGAATGAGTACGGAGAGGTTGCTAAAATCTCAGGGCCAATGGAAGCTGCATGCATTGCAAAGAACTAAGGTGACGATCTGCACCTAGAACGCAGGTACACTTGCATCCGAGCTTTCGATAGAGGGCTTGCTCATGCAAGCAAGAAGGATAAGCTACGACGTCATCTAGTTGGCCGAGACGAGACGACGCCATGCATTCAACGCCGTCTATGACACCAGAGAAGAACTGCTCTTCGGAACAGACAGTAGAGGAGTCGGTAGCGTCCGCGTTCTCGTCAACACTAGTTTGCACATGAACATTGATTCACTCAGACAACAAACAACCCGAATGGACCTTTACGATTAAAAAAACGTTAATGAATTCCGGTTTTGACAATCTTCATCGTCTACACGCCGACATCAAGCTATGACGAAGAAATCAAAAGCGTTCTATATGGACTTGGAGAAGTTCTGCAGAGAAGACCACACAGTCTTCAAGGTCTTCATTGGAGATTTCAACGCCAAGACTAGACTAAGAAGAACGTCTGAAGAACGTCACATTGGGACCCACGGATTAGAATAGAATGAACAGGGTGAGCGGCTGTCCGACTTTATCATGGCGACCAAGACAATCCATGGTAACTCCCACTTCCAGAAGCTCCACCCTCAGCCCTGAACGTGGGAGACTTTCAGTGGAGAGATCCATAACGAAATAGAGCATATCATGGTAAATAGTAGGCTTTGCCTAACCGATGTCACTGTTGTCCCCAAATTCTACACGGGTCAGGACACCGCCTCCTTCGTGCAAGATTCTATTTCTCGCAGATAGGAGGAAAAGCCGCTAAATTCGAGAAACGAGGTCCCGGAAACACGACGAACTGGGATTTATACAATTCACTGGTCGGTTGTTGGAAGGATTCCGTTGTTGATAACATCGACGAAAAATACGATCGGCTCATTCAACATCTTCACGTTAGCGCTACGAAAGCTGACAGTTCGAAAGTCACCAAGAGACGTCTCTCTCCAGAAACACTCGAGCAGATACGCCAGTGTGGAATCGCACAGGCTTCAGGTAACCTCGAACTAACGTTCGAACTTCCAAAACAATGCAGACAGGCGATGAAAGAAGATCTGAAAGAGAGAAGAGCAGCAGTAATGGTTGAAGCTGCAGAGGATGGAAAAAGCATTCGCAAAGCCCACCGAAGCTTCGCCAATTACAAGACTAAAACGATTCCTCTCCGGCATCCAGGCGGATGGGTTACAGCGTCCAGGAAGGTAATAGAGAAAATCATTCACGAATAATACTCTGATCTCTTCGATAGCCACGTCCACCTTCCGTCATATGATGTAAAGGAGGACGGTTATTTTGTACCACTGGTTCTCCCTTCCGAAATCCGACATGCCATTTCGTCGGTGAAAAATCGAACAGTACCAGGTCCGGATAGGATAAGACCAGAACACCTGAAAAACTTTCTGCCAGCCCTCGTAAACACACTGAATTGGCTCTTTGCATGTTAGCTGCCTGAATGTGAGGTCTCTACTCAGTGAAAGACCAGCAAGACCATGTTATTGTTCAAGGGTGACCTGCACGATATCGGCAACTATCGCCCAACCTGCTTACTGTCTGTCGTCTACAAATTTTTCACTCGAGTCGTCCTAAACAGGATTGACAAAACACTAGACGAAGGACAGCCATGTGAGCAAGCAGGGTTTCGAGAAGGATTTAGTGGGCCACATCCACACGGTAACACGGCTCATTGAAGTATCGCAAGAGTACAAAAGACCGCTCTGTCTCACTTTCATCGATTTACAGAAGGCTTTTTATTCAGATTAGATGGAAGCAGTCTGGGAAGCCCTTGATAGTTAAGGAGTCCCTACTCAGTACATAATGATTCTTCGTGAGCTGTACAAAAATTTCACAACCAAGATATCACCATTCTACAACGATATTAACATTGGGGTCAAAGAGGAGTTAGGCAAGCGATACTATCTCGAAAAAATTTTCACCGCCATCCCGCAGAACGTCATACGAACATTGTAATGCGATAATATGCGAGCGAAAATCGACGGTCGGCAGTTACACCATCTTCGGTTAGCTGATGACATCGTCCTTATAACACCAAACATTAGTCAGGCGGAACGTATGCTTGACGACTTTGATAAAGCCTTTGGGAAGATTGGTCTTCGACTAAATCTCACAAAAACGATGTTTATGAAGAACCTATTGGTTTCGCATGCCCCATTCACGCTCAACGGAACGAATATCTCCGACTGCTCCAGTTACATCTATTTAAGTCGGGAAATCAATACGATGGACGACCTAGCTCTAGAGCTGAGCAGAAGGAAACGAGCAGCTTGGGGAGCTTTCAAGAGCAACGAGGATGTAATAAAGAGAACGAGGAATACCCGGCTCCGTGCCAACCTTTTCGACTCAACGGTACTTCCTGCCTTAACGTATGCGTCAGAAACCTGGTCGCTGCGTAAGCAGGATGAAAAATCACACAGCGTTATTAAATGTGCAGTCTAAAGGACGATGCTAGGAGCATCTTCCCGCGTTACACAATTAAGGAATGGGATCCAAAGCTCCGATCTTCTTCAACGATCAAAAATCAAAGATGTCGTTCTGTACGCCAAACAGTCGAGGATAAGGTGGGTCGGACACGTAATGCGTATGAATGACAACCGATGGACAAGAGCCGTTAGTGACTGCATTCCTCGGAATGTCAAACGTACTGCAAGAAGACCATCGACCCGATAGACAGAGTTCTTTACAAAGGGCCTTGAAGAAAGACTCGATTAGTCCCTAGAGCGAACAGAACCCACTGGGCTGCTCTTGCATGCGGCAGGGAGAAATGGAAGATTTATTGGCGCCCGCTCGAGTCACTCGACGATCAACGGGACTACAGGTGGTACAGGTGAAGCCATTGTGGATCTCTCGAATCCCGAGATCAGCCTGGCCCCAGGTTTTCACCATCACAGGCGGTCGCAGCCTTATGGATCAGAGGGAGATTTGCCACCATGCGACTTTGATACCAGGTTGGAGGTGGATCCTACTATTGATTTACTCTTAGCTAGGCCATCTGATGGAAACGCAGCAACATGAAGAAGGAATTACAGAGAAGAAAGAAAGCACCATGAGCCGCATTCAGGTTTCTCAACTGAAGCACCAGGCAACTAAAGGATCCAGAACTTCATTCTCACTTTTTCAACTCAGCGATCCTCCCAGCTCTCTCTGTTGCGTACCAGAGACGTGGGCTGATACTTCATCTAATGCATCAAAAGCTCTGTCCACCAACGACATCTCTTTAAATTTGACCAGCACTCACCACATTTATCCGGAATCCCAGTTGAGAAGTTTGAAACCTTACCCATCTTCACGGTCCACGAAAATCTAAATGGATCGCGAAGCGCACGTGGAATGTTCGTGGCTAACGTCAATCATGTGCACCCGCAGATGGGAACGAACTCAAGATCACGGAATGGGTTTCACGGAGGTCATCATGTTCGAAATCAGCCCGTCACCATCGAAGACGAATGCGCGAGAAAAATACAAATGCAAATTCTCCTGGGAACCAGACTCCGAGGGAAAACGGACAATCCAGGTATATCACCAATCAACGTGGGAAATCCTATACCAGACCATCCTCCAGATTGTAGGAAAAGTTGATTCAACCAACATTTTGCGACATTCATAAAGTAAGCAAAATCTTTAAGAAGCAGCTATAACGACGCAGGAAATATTTGAATACCACCGCGGACGATGAATGAGAGGAAAGAGAATTGAAAGCAGGAAGCACTGAGGTTCTTAGGGTAGATGTAATGACGAATCATGTAAACAGAATAAAGAAAATATGTGTAATAGATTTTTTATAAGCAAACAAAATCACTACCCAACTTTGGTCATGCCTCTTAATACAAGTTTACTACGAAAAATCAATAGGATTTTCATAGTATCTAGAAGATATCCAGAAGATTCGGAGAAACACGGATCTTATTCATGCGAAGAATTTTGAGCTGGTCTGTCGCGGTACGAATTTGCCTCATCATAGCTCTAGTGACATCTACAATGAGCCGACCCTGGAGGGATGAAAGGCTTGCTGGGCCACGAGCGCAGGGAATGTGTTTTGCAGGACGCCTCCGACCGCTGCGAAGCTCTCCTTATTTATCCTTTATTGCTATCATCCTATTATTTATCCTTTGTTGTTTTTATCCCTAGTTCACTTGTACCTCCTATATACTGAACTGAGAAATAGGACTCTTGCGTTGACATCAATGAATATCGTGATTTATGTGATATGTTTTCTTGTTCCACATTCTTCAATCACTTTCATCAATACGTGAAATATGGATTAGTACATGACGACTGTATCTTCCTGCACTTCGACAAGGCTGAAAACTTGCAAGGAAGGACCAGAGGGAGACAGAAAAGGCTTCTTGAAGTCACCTTTAGGAAAACAAGCCCCATGTATGCAACAGGACAGTTCAACGAGCTAGTTGTGAGCATACTTTAGCATGTATAGTCGATTACGTCAATGATTAATTAGCTAACAGATGATAGAGGGAAATAGGTCAACACACCTTTGGAGGACACATAATAGGAAAGTCATCGTTTCCCAGATTGGCTTTTGTCGTCTTTCGGTCAACTGGTTCGATCAGATTGTTCCAAAGAAACTTTGCTAGCACGGCATTTCCGTACTTACTCAAATGGAATATATCACTTGCATAGAACGACTTGTCATATTCGCCACGTTTCTGTAATTTTGTATATTTATAGTAGGAAATCGGAACGGAGAAAAATCAAACAATGCATTGCCCGTAATACTGGCATAGGATAAGTAGTTCAAGAAGGGAGAGAATAAATTGCTTGTAGTCAAGCCATTCATTCACATTTGGCCTTCGTTGCATCGTAAAGGTCTTTTTGCTCGACACTTCTTAGTTTAAGCAAGGGGAATTCACTCGTTTCTCTTCAATGTTTTCTTTTTCTTTTTACAACTCTTGATAATCCAAAAACACTGCGGCGTAGTTGAAACTCGGAAGAGAGCATTTGCTGATTCGACGGCTGCGTCCTGTCAAAGTTTCAGCAACGCATGCAGCCCTAATACAAAAGCAGGAGTTAAATTATACACTTTCTCCTCAACATCTGATGGTGTTCATAATAAAACAATCGTCTTACATTACGGAATGCATCCCTTATGTCATCCATAAATCCCTGAACGACCACGGTGAAATCTTTATGATCAAACCTCCTTTCGTTCTGAATTTCGTATGCAACCTAGAAAACAAATTTTCCTACTTTACAATGTGTAATTTTTAACCACTGCCTATTATTTTTTCACAGCAGGACATTATATGAAACACAACCATAATGGAGCCGAGATATTTGCGAAACTTGTTCTCCAAGGTAGATTGAACCGCGATTACCCTTTCCGTTTACACACGTGTTATGCACGGCACCACTGAGGTCCTCGTTCTACCTTTCTCTCAGCCAGTCTTTTTAACCCAACGCTGCCATCACCAATCAGCAGAGAATGAAACAGATGAATGGTGTCGCACGATTCGGTTGAAATGACTGGCTGTGAGAAAGGTGAAACGAAGACCTCAATATTGACGTGGAAAACACGTGGCCTACGGAAAGGGTAGTCGAAGTTCGATCTGGCCCAAGGTCCAGATTTTGAAAATTTATCAGCATCATTGTTATTGCTGTTTTACTTCATAATGCATTCGCTGTTGGTCAATCACTTAGGTTTGCGCCCTTCATTCGATTTCATTAAGCATCATTTAGCAACGACGGTTAACACTGACCACCAGACCACAAATTTTCCTTGGCTTTAACCCCACTATAAAGCACACTAACGTTATAAATCGTTACGGCACCGCAGGTGATTGTCGGGGCAACATAAGCTTCCAATCTCCTGCAGAATTGTTAATAGGGTCGAATGCATTGCGTCATCGCTAAGGGATTTGTCAACACTTAACGCAATACAACTGATGATAAGAAGATAAAAACTGGGAAAATAATGAGAAAATAAACCTTTCTGTATTCCGCACACAAATCATCCCGCCTTGTGATAAAATCATGGCCGCATTGCCTGCGTTTCCTTAAGTATACAGACAATAAGAACCGTAGAACTTAGAGAACTTAAGAAACTAGACTAAAGAAAAAACTAGAAAGTAAACTAAGACCTAGAACTTAAGAACTTTTTTCTTCCACCTTTTTTAATGCTGTTTAAAAGAAAATAGCATATTCACGGCTAAGATGGCTTTTCGAGCACAAACGATAACTACATGATCAAAAGAGTTTATGATGATCTGACAACGCTAAGACCAACGAAATAAATGCTTTATCGGACGGACAGCACATAAAGCATCCTTCCGATTGCATCCGCATCCGTGCAGAAGTAACACTACCAGAAGTTGAAACAAAAGTCAAAAATTGAAGCTTTTAAAGATTCCAATGTTAGCCTGGCAGCCACAACAAACAGCTATAGATTGTAGAACACCACAATGTCCAGGCCGACAAATAATCCAGCTGTTCAACCGCATCCGTGTTATAAATATATGAGTCATAACGAAATATCCACACTGGTTGTGCAGGCCCCAGCATATTCTCCATTTTTCGGGGTTTTGTTGGTTTAGCCGTTGTGTTTTCCAGGAGTCCCGAGGTAAGCCTGACTAAAGTCTGCTCCACGTCGTCATCACCACAGGCAGTCGCCGCCCATGTGGATCAGAGGGAGATTTGCCAGTTTGGTACCACGATGTTGGTGGATCCTCGTATTGGTTTGCTCTTAACTGGCTTCCTGATGGGAACCGCGGACCTTTCAGCTTGGAATGCTCTGCTGGGTATGCATTCCCCGCTGTACATCAGAGACCGACACCCAGGAAAACCCGCCAGCCACGTGGAGACGGTAAATCGTTGGGAGACATGATGAAATAAAAACGGAAAAAAGTATCCCGTGGGCTCCACAAAATCAAAATTTCACTGTTTCAGCAGCGAAACATCTTCCTCACTAACGAAAATCTGCATAATCCAAAGATTTCTAGTTTAAATAGTAAAGTACTCAATGAGATGGAACATACAAATTTGAAATAGGAAGCTGTCATTATTTCCATATCACAAGCATTTAAGTAAAGACATGTGAAGTATTTAATGTCATGAAGTATTTTAAAAAAGTAGCAGAAATGACTGGAGAATAATGGATGTTACTTCACGTAGTTTGAAAGGAAAGAAGAAAAATTTTTTGTCAAATTAAAGGAGTCCAGAAAGTGAATACGGTTAGCAACGAAAATCTCAGAATGATGAAACATTTAAGGGCTAACTTAAAACAACTTTGAAAAATCAATAATTGCACAACGATATACTTATTTTTAAGGGGTCTACACTATTTCTAATGGTATCTAATTTCTACACATATACACTTGAGAGAAATCCGTTAACCATAAAGTTATGCATTTTTACTACGACATCCTTAACACGATATTAAATCATAAATAAACAAAAACGTTAAAGGTTTGAACACAGCATTCAGCATTAAAACGCATTCTAGTGTTGGTATTTTAATCACAAACTAACCTAAACATCTGACCTGTCTAGTGAGAAAAGAGGATAATGTAATAGACAAAGCGCTTTTGCTTTGTGAAGTTTTTTACTAATTTTAAAGGATAAAGGATAAAGCTCTCGGCGTTGATCAATCCCTGAGGGATGCGCCATGCATTCGACTTCATTGAGCATCGTTGGAGATGGTTGAATGCATATCTGACCTCTACAACGACTCGCGGTGGCTTGCCGATGTATCAATCCAGTACTCCTAGAGAAGTCTGGTACCAATTTGCCGACTCCGGAGGGATGGAAGGCTTGGTGGGCCATGGAATCCGAGATCGATTCCACGTGTGTGTCGCAGTGGCACCTCCAACCACTGCGCCACACGAGCCTCTTTTCCACTAATTTGCGAGCTTTATTCAATGTGTGAACCACTTTTTATGGCAGGGGATGAATGTGAAACTAAGTGTGCGAACTTTAACCTACTGCACTGTGTCATGTCATACCTAAAAACAAAATAGATCTATGAGATAAAACAAAATGAAAGCAAAAACACTGCCCACCCCTCGTCAATGAGCGACTTGGCATCGATAGTTAACTCTGGGTTCCACATCGACACAATGGAAACAATGGTACGATTCAGGTTGCTTCGTAGTAAACTAATTCCTTCTTCAAGTTTAGTTTTGTAGATCTCTCGGCTGGTTGGCTTCTGTTAACGAAGAACACAGTTTATTTATCACTTCTCCTAGTTAGCTAATGAAGTAAGCAACTTATTTATATGCTATTTGTTTAGTAATGAATTGAACAACGGCAGAAAAATAACAATTACAATTATTATATGACTTATCACAAATGGTTTATTAAACTGTTTTCCAGCTTCACTTTCCCGTTGAGCCACTCCAGCTGCCGCTAGTAAATCTTCTATTTTTCCCTGTAGCGTGCAAGAGTAGTCCTATGGGTTCTGCTCGCTCTAGGGACTCGTCCAGCATCATATCTTTCTTCAAGGCTCTTTGTGAAGAACTCTGTCTATCGGGTCGGTGGTCTTCTTGCAGTACGTTTGGCATCCCGAGGAATTCAGTCACTAACGGTTCTTGTCCATCGGCTATCATTCATACGCACTAGGTGTCCTGCCCACCTTATCTTCGACTGTTTGGCTATAGAACGGCATCTTTGATATTTGGTCGCTGACACAGATCAGTGCTTCGGAACCCATCCCTTAATTGTATAACGCGGGATGATGCTCCTAGCATCGTCCTTTCGACTGCACATTTAATAACGCTGTGTGAATTTTCATCCTATTTTCGCAGTGACCAAGTTCCTGACGCATACGTTAACGTAGGAAGTACCGCTGAGTCGAAAAGGTAGGCACGGAGTCGGGTGTTCTTTGTTCTCTCTACCACACCTTCGATGCTATTGAAAGCTCCCCAAGCTGCTCGTTTCCTTCTGCTCAGTTCTGGAGCTAAGTCGTTTAACATGTTGATTTCACGACCTAGATACACGTAACTGGCGCATTCGAAGTTATTCGTTCCATTGAGCATGAGTGGGGCAAACGAAACCAATCCGTTCCTCGTGAACATCGTTTATGCGAGATTTAGTCGAATACCAACCTTCCCAAGGCTTTATTAAAGTCGGCAGGCATACGTTTCGCTTGGTTGACATTTTGTGTTATAAAGACGATGTTATCAGCAAAGCGAAGATGTTTAACTGCCGTCCGTTGATTTTCACTCTCATATGATATAATTCCAATGTTCACATGACGTTCTGGAAGGTGGCGGCAACTAATTTTGGCGAGGTGGTATCGCCTGGCCTAACTCCTCTTTCGACGTCAATGTTAATATCGTTGTTGAATGGTGTTATCTTGGTTGTAAAATTTTTGTAAGGCTCGCGAAGAATCTTTATCTACATAGTAGGGACTCCATGACTATCAAGGGCTTCCATGACTGCTTCTATCTCAACTGAGTCAAACGCATTCTGTAAATCGATGAAAGTGAGACAGTGCGGTCTTTTGTACTCTCGCGATACTTCAATGAGCTTTGTTATCGTGTGGATGTGGTCGATCGTACTAAATCCTTTTCGAAACCCTGCCAGCTCACATGGCTGTCCTTCGTCTAGTGTTTTGTCAATCCTGTTTAGGACGACTCGAGTGAAAAATTTGTAGACGACAGACAGTAAGCAGGTTGGGCGATAGTTGCCGATATCGTGCAGGTCACCCTTGAACAATAACATGGTCTTGCTGGTCTTTCACTGAGTAGAGACCTCACATTCAGGCAGCTAACATGCAAAGAGCCGATTCAGTGTGTTTACGAGGGCTGGCAGAAAGTTTTTCAGGTGTTCTGGTCTTATCCTATCCGGACCTGGTACTGTTCGATTTTTCACCGACGAAATGGCATGTCGGATTTCGGAAGGGAGAACCAGTGGTACAAAATAACCGTCCTCCTTTACATCATATGACGGAAGGTGGACGTGGCTATCGAAGAGATCCGAGTAGTATTCATGAATGATTTTCTCCATTACCTTCCTGGACGCTGTAACCCATCCGCCTGGATGCCGGAGAGGAATCGTTTTAGTCTTGTAATTGGCGAAGCTTCGGTGGGCTTTGCGAATGCTTTTTCCATCCTCTGCAGCTTCAACCATTACTGCTGCTCTTCTCTCTTTCAGATCTTCTTTCATCGCCTGTCTGCATTGTTTTGGAAGTTCGAACGTTAGTTCGCGGTTGCCTGAAGCCTGTGCGATTCCACACTGGCGTATCTGCTCGAGTGTTTCTGGAGTGAGACGTCTCTTGGTGACTTTCGAACTGTCAGCTTTCGTAGCGCTAACGTGAAGATGTTGAATGAGCCGATCGTATTTTTCGTCGATGTTATCAACAACGGAATCCTTTCAACAACCGACCAGTGAATTGTATAAATCCCAGTTCGTGGTGTTTCCGGGACCTCGTTTCTCGAATTTAGCGGCTTTTCCTCCTATCTGCGAGAAATAGAATCTTGCACGAAGGAGGCGGTGTCCTGACCCGTGTAGAATTTGGGGACAACAGTGACATCGGTTAGGCAAAGCCTACTATTTACCATGATATGCTCTATTTCGTTATGGATCTCTCCACTGAAAGTCTCCCACGTTCAGGGCTGAGGGTGGAGCTTCTGGAAGTGGGAGTTACCATGGATTGTCTTGGTCGCCATGATAAAGTCGGACAGCCGCTCACCCTGTTCATTTTATTCTAACCCGTGGGTCCCAATGTGACGTTCTTCAGACGTTCTTCTTAGTCTAGCCTTGGCGTTGAAATCTCCAATGAAGACCTTGAAGACTGTGTGGTCATCTCTGCAGAACTTCTCCAGGTTCATATAGAACGCTTTGACTTCTTCTTCGTCATAGCTTGATGTCGGCGTGTAGACGATGAAGATTGTCAAAGCCGGAATTCATTAACGTTTTTTTAATCGTAAAGGTCCATTCGGGTTGTTAGTTGTCTGAGTGAATCAATGTTCATGTGCAAACTAGTGTTGACGAGAACGCGGACGCTACCGACTCCTCTACTGTCTGTTCCGAAGAGCAGTTCTTCTCTGGTGTCATAGACGGCGTTGAATGCATGGCGTTGTCTCGTCTCGGCCAACTCGATGACGTCGTACCTTATCCTTCTTGCTTGCATGAGCAAGCCCTCTATCGAAAGCTCGGATGCAAGTGTACCTGCGTTCTAGGTGCAGATCGTCTCCTTAGTTCTTTGCAATGCATGCAGCTTCCATTGGCCCTGAGATTTTAGCAACCTCTCCGTACTCATTCTAGCCAACGCTGCTGAATTGGGTGCTCTTTCGCGGTCAGAGGTATGAGGCCCGTTTCTTTTATTGGTTTTAGCTTTTTGATACCCACGTATAGCTTGCTGGGGTCTGAACGTGGGGGCTGGGTATACTCACAGGTAGTTTGTCAGGCTCTCCCAGAGTGCACATGGAACTTATTTGTTGGAGGCAACTCCTAACCGCCTCGCACCAGCAGAAAGATGGAGTCTATCTCCTGGATCCACCTGCCTCTAAGGGAAGCAAATGTCGCTTTTGGTCTGCGGTTAACGGACCTCCACCACCTAGGGACGTGCCACGTAGCCTCGCGGCTAACCGACTATTGGGATCGCTCACATGAGGGACATCCTTAGAGTAATAGTCACCACGACTTATATATCACTTGTCATGGAAGGCTTATCAAACTGTTTTTCCTCTTAGAATATCAAAGTCAAAGATGAGAGCCCTGTTTGCAATGCTAAAACGGCGGCAAAATCCATTTTTTCACCATTATGATCTCAGATACACTTCATAAAACTCATTCATTCATTAGTCCTTCATAACTGACTTGACCATTTAAAAGAAAATTTGAGAACCGCACCTCTTTCGAATAACATCTTAATTCCCCCAAGTCATTTGTTCCAATGAATATCGAAATTAGTTTCCAGTCGTCCTTTAAACGAACCTGAAAGTGCAATCAATTCAATTCAAGAAGTTGCGACCACAGTCCAACTTATAAGACACTTCATTCTTCTAACCATTTAGTAAAGCACTAACTCCTCTAGCTTTCATCCGATGAATAAGTTCTTCTGCTTGCCTAGGGATGTCCATGCTTGTCCTTCCACTTACTGCAACGTTGAAAACGGTATTGTCATAACCAGTTCCATGTGACATTCCCACAATACTTGGATTGAAAACTCGTAGTATATCTAGAAAAGAATTATTTTTATTTCTCTACCGGACAGCACAATATGTGCTGGAAATTTTGAAATTTCCATGTATGAGATCCAAGCCACAAGTGAATCCATGCTGTGTGGAACCTATGAGAAGATCAATTGACCACCATTAAAATACGTTCTTGGCGAAGAAGACAAGGAGGTCTTTGAATGGGAGTAAAAAATTCTGCTTGCGGGTGAAAAAATCGTGTGCAGTAATCGTTGTCAAAGTGGTCGAGATATGATCTTGATGTAACTACTTGCCTCTAGCGAAGTCGGGCATTCAATAACTCAGTTTATGCTCCAAAGTAGTATGAATGACGCAGATTTTGTTATCCTAATAATTGAAATAGAGGGTGCAAAATGTTTGGTCGGGTAAAAGTGGCATGAGCTATCTAATAGTCAACTACCGTCAAAGTACTTAGATCTATAGATGCTCCACCTTCACAGCAGTGATCTTTATACAGGCTGATCCAACTGGTAGCACAATGTGGTCCATACACGATTTCAAACTACTGACAAAGTTACCTTCACGACAGTGATCTTTACACATGCTTGTTTGAAATAAAGCTTATGAGAAGATCATTTCGCCGCTGCAAAATACATGCCTGTCGATGGAGACAGAAATCTTTGAAAAGGAGCAAATATTCTGCTCGCTACTGAAAAAATCAGGTGCGGTAATCAACGCTAAGGTGTGGTTATAATATGATCCTGTTGAAACTGTATGCCTATAGCAAAATTAGATATCTGCTCATGCAACCTGCGCTTCAAAATGGTACGATTTACACAGCTTGGACAAATCACAAGAATCATAAAATATCTTAAAACTGACCTTCGATAAACCTCAACAAAAGTAATCAATATATCCTTCGACAATTAAGTCAACACGCATTTAATAAAAAACTAGCCGAATACACTTTTTTATTGACCTCTTGTTGACCTAATAACCGAATAAGATAGCGCAAAATTTTTGATCCAATGTGGGAAAAAGAGCCAATCCATCTTGAGAGTGGTTGGCCTAACGGAGACTTTTATCATTTTCCTCCATATATCGTCACTGACCGATCCATCCCTGATTCCTATGTACACTTCGCTGGATCTTGAAGACTAAATGTTTTTCAGATTTTTGTACTGAATATTCCTCCTTGATGATGTTTACAAGACACTTCTCAAGCGGTCTATAGGAGGTGACTTAAACTTAGTGCTGATCGATTTCTCAAACTCAAATACTACGTGGGACACGATGTCGTGTAAAACAAGTGTAGTTAATTGGGTCCAACCGTTAGTTGCCGGTTTCTCTGCAAAAGCTAATACGTGGCACAAGCTGCTCTCCTTCTCCTACGCAATTCCTTCGTCATATACTTTTCTCCTATCATTGAAAATCAGAGAATCACACATAATTCGATCTATCAAATAAGATAAACACGCCGAACATTTTTCTATCGAAATCGAATTGAGTGCATTACTAAAACCTTCTCATAAGAACCATCCTAACGCGCATCACATGGAACCTGAATGAAACCCAACCAATAGAGCAAACTCATTCTCACAAGCGATCTAGATTCATCAACGACTTCCAAACACTCTTTGGAGTCACAGAGGTCCACTACAAATGCTATCTATTCCAAATCATGATCATCGCTGACCAACAAGAAAGCATTCGACAGTGTGGAGACCAGATTCTTTGAGTCCGCCTAGTCGACTAGTGTATACCAGCGTCTAACATAAAAACACTGGCTGCAGTAGTTAGTGTACAGTGGCAGCATTGTCTTTTCATCAAAAAATAGTCCAATTGGTGAAAAAAAACGACACGAAACTGTGCTACGACACTATATGCAGGCACTCGAATGGGTAAGAAATAGAAAGATGTTCATGGACAAAATCCCTTCATCCATCGTTTTGCCGACGACAACCTCACTTTTTCTTACGGCACTACAGAAGCGGAGACTGTTTCTATAGAAGGCAAGCAAGCAAAGAAAATTATAAGCTAGATAGATCAAATCAGACTAGGCCCGATGCATACCTTGGAGGTTCAGTGAATATGGATAACCAGAGTGAAAAACTCAGTAGGAAGGAATGAGCGGCGTTTGTAACATTAGTAAAACACTCGATGCCCGCTCACTCAGAAACAGGTAATTCAAGTAGAGCTTTAGTGCCGGTTTTAACGGAATGAAAACATCTTCAAGAGGGAGTATCAAAAATATGGGCTCGTATGCTTACTCAAAGCACGCGTGAAAGTGACTATTGGGAGCCATAAGATATGTGAAGATGATTTACCTAAGTATCTACAAAAAAAGCATACTTTTTCATTATTTACAGAACGTTTCCAATTCGCCCTCATCAGCTGCACATTTCAATTGGCAATATTATAATTGATGAAACATATATTCTTTTATCATAAAAGTGGGACACTGAGGATACTCATGCCAGGTGATAGGTTTCCGTAGGGATCCAGTAATGGGATGCACAACAACGCCTACGCAAGTGAAATTTAGTGCTGGGTTTTTCCCGATGTGTAATAAGTGCTTCATCCTTATTAGGCAGATTTCATTTTTTCTTCTTTCACATGTAAGACAACTGCATGAAACCTCATGTCATCTTCAAAGCCAACGTAAATGTATCGATCGATGAGTGAGGAGAAATTGTTGGTGTTGTGGATTCATAGAAAAAAAAGCCTCCAAAATATAATCTGTACGTGTTTCCCAGCTGAGACAGCATCCTTCGCAACCCTGGATTTGTCCAGTAGTTATCAGCTTCTTCTCTGTTCGATGTACTGTGAAGAGCCTACTATACACTGCTATTAGAAGAATTGCAAAACTATACATTACCACGTGACCTCAAAATATCGAGACGAATTAGCCTTACTATTACTGAATAGACCACGGTTTATAACTACTTGTTGATGTAGATCAGATAATAACGATAAACGCGAGTAGGAAAAGACCTTTTCAGAGCGTAAAGATATTGAAACTTAGTAACTTCGTCTCTTTTTGGTTCAGTAGTCTTTCTGTCCTTGCTCGATTTCCTTTACTATTTAGTGCTTACTGACCCGAATGGGTTGGGACGATTGTCATAACCAAGCGCTGCAATATCACCATGCTACATGAATAACAACAAATTATGTTGTAGCACTAGCTATGTAACAATCCCTTAATGTAATAATAACAATACAGAAGGTACTTACTGGCCACAGATATGTGCTTTTCGAGTGTTTCATCACCTCCAATAACATACGAATTTCCGGGATAGACATTATATAGATCATCATCGTAATTTCTCGACAGCTCAGCCACCTTCAAACAAATTCTACAAACTCAAGAAAGATTACGAACAAAATTCCTAGACCTAGACGCTGGCAACCAGGAGAAAAAACATAAAACTTGCCGTGATTGAGTCACCCATTGCAGCAATGACATTTATATCAGCTGGTCGAACTTGATTGACGTCATCAGGTGTTTTGGCAGACGGCTTCATCACTTCTGGATCGCATCGTAAAACACCACCAAGTGTCTTGGTAGCTAAAGAGGATTGAAGACAGGAAAATGGGAAAACAGCTATGAGGCGCATTTCTGTTCTTTATTCCGTAAACCAGCCCATGGCATACAACACCATGAAAGTGCAGTACATTGCAGCTTTTCTTCTTGGCACGAGACTCACAAGGGAATGTAAATAGGAAAAAACATCAAGACCCATGTAACGAAACTCACATATATGAGCTCCTAGCGAAAGGTCGAAGTCGGCTACACCTTAGAAAGAGAAGGATATAAAAGAGCTTGGCATATTACAATAATTTTCTTTATAAAAAGTAAGTAACAAAAAAGAAGAATTTTTGTGGTGTAAGTGGAACAAACCGGAATAACGGAATCTAACGTAAGATACGAGCACAAAAACAAGGACTGCAATAGCCAGTAATTTGAACCGCCGAAAGTTGAATGGTACGTGGAAAGGAAGTCGATCAGTTGAATAGTACCGCTCGTAGGCCTCATAGTCCTTAATTTGTAGTTCTTGCATCCATAATTGCGCTTTTAAAGGAATCTCTATGGACAGAACACATTTACGACTTATTCATTATTCCACTTGCTTTATTACATGCATAATTTAATACATGTGTTACTAACAATGCCGTATTAATAATACAACCAGCTGTGGGAACACATTGCCTCTCAGAGTTTCCAGTATCACTTATGAGACCAGAACCTTTTGCTCTAACAACAACATCTAACATCTCAATTATACTCTTAATCACTAACCAATGCAGCTAAGTAGTTCTGAAACACGGATACAGAGGAAAACATGGCATACAATCCTGTCAATTCCAGAACGTAAGATTTCAGTCAATGTCAAACGCAATTTAACCCTCAGAACAGCCCTAATATGCCAATGTATGTCCAGCGTTTCCAACAATTTGAGGGTTTCTGTGGAATATTCAGAAATATGCCTAACCATTAAGTGGAAGGAGCCACTATTGCAAGAAAAGAATGATGTAAAATCTAAACGCAGAAACTTGAGGAATGATTGCTGACTTACATCTAAAAATGATGTTTTCGAGTCACTCTGTGATCCTGACGGGACCATTTGCTGGTAGGGGTAACGTTGCTGGAGATGAAGCTGAAAGAGGCATATGCGTCTTGATTGGAATCACATGTACTACCCAAATTGAAGGTATGCATAGAGATGGTGCCAAACTAGCAAAAATGGCAGAACAGTTAAGTGGGAAACATTCTGGCACCGGCACGATTCTTTGCAAAAATGAGTTATTTAAGTATTTTAAGTATTCATGTAGACACAATGAGGTAAATGCCTAAAGAATGTCGTATACTACAAGTTCCAAATACCTATTACGATCAATATGGCACTAAGGTGCCGATCTCCTCGCCTTATTTTTATTGACTTTGTATAAAATGTTATTATGCACACGGAAGTAGCATTGCTCACTTTGTAGCCAGCTGATTACGTAAAACCATAGCCTTGGGCCACGCGAGTCCTTCACTGGCGTTAGATTAATAAACAACGGTCATGCTTTTATATGAAGAAAAGAGCATATATTTAGTGAACCCGACAAATTAAAACATGCAGTAAATCATCGTCTCAATAAAAGCGATGTGGGATCGAGAATCACCTGTATCACCGTAGTCCCGTTGATCGCCGAATGACCCGAGCGAGCGCCAGTAAATCTTCCATTTTTCCCTGTCGCATGCAAGAGTAGCCCATTGGGTTCTGCTCGCTCTAGGGACTCGTCGAGCATCATATCTTTCTTAAAGGCTCTTTGTGAAAAACTCTGACCATCGGGTCAGTGGTCTTCCTGCAGTACGTTTGACCTCCTGAGAAATCCACTTTCTAACGGCTCTTGTGCATCGATTGCTATTCATATGCGTTAAGTGTCCAGTCCACCTTATCTTCGACTATTTGGCGTACAGAACGGCATCTTCGATTTTTGATCGCTGACGCAGATCAGAGCTTCGGATCCCATCCCTTACTAGTGTGGAACGGGATACTCCTAGCATCGTCCTTTCGACTGCGCGTTCGATAACGCTTAGTGACCGCAGCGACCAGGTTTCTGACGCATACGTTAGGGTAGGAAGCACCGTTGAGTGGAAAACGTGGGCACGGAGTCGGGTGTTCTTGGTTTTCTTCATTGCATCTTCGTTGCTCTTGAAAGCTCCCCAAGTCGCTCGTTTTCTTCTGCTCAGCTCTGGAGCTAGGTCGTTCACTGGATTGATTTCCCGACCTAGATAGATATAACTGGAGCATTCAGAGATATACGTTCCGTTGAGAGTGAATGAGGCATGCGAAACCAATCCGTTCTTCATGAACATAGTTTTTGTAAGATTTAGTCGAAGACCAATCTTCCCACAGGCTTTATCAAAGTCGTCAAGCATACGTTCCGCTTGGTCAATGTTTGATGTTATAAGGACGATGTTATCAGCAAAGTGAAGATGACGTAACTGCCGACCATCGATTTTCACCATCATATTATGGCATTCCATTGCTAGCATGAGATTCTGGAGGGTGACGATAAATAACTTTGGCGAGATGGTATCGCCTTCAGTAACTCCTCTTTTGACGTCAATGCCAATATCGTTGTAGAATGGTGATATCTTGGTTGTGAATTTTTTGTACAGCTCACGAAGAACCTTTTTGTACTGAGTAGGGATTCCTTAACTATCAAGGGCTTCCCAGACTGCTTCCATCTAATCTGAATAAAAGGCCTTCTGTAAATCGATGAAAGTGAGACAGAGCGGTCTTTTGTACTCTCGCGATACTTCAATGAGCCTTGTTATCGTGTGGATGTGGTCGATCGTACTAAATCCTTTTCGAAACCCTGCCTGCTCACATGGCTGTCCTTCGTCTAGTGTTTTGTCAATCCTGTTTAGGATGACTCGAGTGAAAAATTTGTAGACGACAGACAGTAAGCAAGTTGGGCGATAGTTGCCNCTTCTCTTTCTAAGATCTTTTTTTATCGCCTGTCTGTATTGTTTTGCAATCTCGGACATTAGTTCGCGGTCGCCTGCAGCTCGTGAGATTCCACGCTGGCGTATCAGCTCGAGTGTTTCTGGAGACAAACGTCTCTGGGTGACTTTTGAACCCTCAGCTTTCATAGCGTTAACATGAAGATGTTGAATGAGCCGATCGTATTATTCGTCGATGTTATTGACAACGGTATCTTCCCAACAGCCGAATAATAAATTGAATAAGTCACAGTTTGCGGTGGTCCTAGAACTTCCGTTTTGGAATTTAGCGGCTTTTTGTCCCTTCCGCGAGAAATAGAATTTTGCACGAAAGAGACGATGGTCTGGTCCCGTGTAGAATTTTGGGACAACAGTGACAGCGATTAAGGAAAGTCTTCTATTTGCCATGACGTGGTCTATTACGCTATGGTATTCTTCACTGGGAGACTCCCACGTCCAGCGGTGAGGGTGGGGCTTCTGGAAGTGGGGGATACCATGGATTGCCTTAGACGCCATGATAAACTCAGTTAGCCGCTCACCCTGTTCGTTTCATTCTAATCCGTGGGTTCCAATGTGACGTTCTTCAGACGTTCCTCTTGGTTCAGCTTTGGCTTTGAACTATCCTCCTTAACTATCAAGGGCTTCCCAGACTGCTTCCATCTAATCTGAATAAAAGGCCTTCTGTAAATCGATGAAAGTGAGACAGAGCGGTCTTTTGTACTCTCGCGATACTTCAATGAGCCTTGTTATCGTGTGGATGTGGTCGATCGTACTAAATCCTTTTCGAAACCCTGCCTGCTCACATGGCTGTCCTTCGTCTAGTGTTTTGTCAATCCTGTTTAGGATGACTCGAGTGAAAAATTTGTAGACGACAGACAGTAAGCAAGTTGGGCGATAGTTGCCGATGTCGTGCAGGTCACCCTTGAACAATAACACGGTCTTGCTGGTCTTCCACTGAGTAGAGACCTCACATTCAGGCAGCTAACATGCAAACAGCCGATTCAGTGTGTTTACGAGGGCTGGCAGAAAGTTTTTCAGGCGTTCTGGTCTTATCCTATCCGGACCTGGTACTGTTCTATTTTTCACCGACGAAATGGCATGTCGGATTTCGGAAGAGAGAACCGGTGGTACAAAATAACCGTCCTCCTTTACATCATATGACGGAAGGTGGACGTGGCTATCGAAGAGATCCGAATAGTATTCGTGAATTATTTTCTCCATTGCCTTTCTGGACGCTGTAGCTCTTCCGTCTGAGCGTCGGTGTGCAACCATCTTGGTCCTGTACCTGGCCCAATTCCGGTGGGCTTTGCGAATGCTTTTCGCAGCCTGTGCAGCTTCGGCCATTACTGCTGCTCTTCTCTTTCTAAGATCTTTTTTTATCGCCTGTCTGTATTGTTTTGCAATCTCGGACATTAGTTCGCGGTCGCCTGCAGCTCGTGAGATTCCACGCTGGCGTATCAGCTCGAGTGTTTCTGGAGACAAACGTCTCTGGGTGACTTTTGAACCCTCAGCTTTCATAGCGTTAACATGAAGATGTTGAATGAGCCGATCGTATTATTCGTCGATGTTATTGACAACGGTATCTTCCCAACAGCCGAATAATAAATTGAATAAGTCACAGTTTGCGGTGGTCCTAGAACTTCCGTTTTGGAATTTAGCGGCTTTTTGTCCCTTCCGCGAGAAATAGAATTTTGCACGAAAGAGACGATGGTCTGGTCCCGTGTAGAATTTTGGGACAACAGTGACAGCGATTAAGGAAAGTCTTCTATTTGCCATGACGTGGTTTCATCTTCATTAATACTATAGATATCCCACCGAATAAAGCTGCTGTTACATAAAATACTTCCAGGCTCTGAGGAAGGCGAAATCACCAATACGTCAGTCGTCGACCAACAAAAGCGACAACGAAAACTTCGAATCAGCTCAACAAGATTCGTTTATACGATCATATAAACAGTAGATCTTACGTCCATAACTGCAGTTATAATGAAATCTCTACGGACGAAGTACGTCTTTGAATTATTCACTATTCTCTTATTTAATAACTTATACTACTTGATACATGTGTTACTAACAATGCCGTATTAATAATACTACCAGCTGTGGGAACACATTGCCTCTCAGAGTTTCCAGTATCACTTATGAGACCAGAACCTTTTGCTCTAACAACAACATCTAACATCTCAATTATACTCTTAATCACTAACCAATGAAGCTAAGTAGTTCAGAAACACGGATACAGAGAAAAACATGGCATACAATCCTGTCAATTCCAGAACGTAAGATTTCAGTCAATGTCAAACGCAATTTAACCCTCAGAACAGCCCTAATATGCCAATGTATGTCCAGCGTTTCCAACAATTTGAGGGTTTCTGTGGAATATTCAGAAATATGCATAACCATTAAGTGGAAGGAGCCACTATTGCAAGAAAAGAATGATGTAAAATCTAAACGCAGAAACTTGAGGAATGATTGCTGACTTACATCTAAAAATGATGTTTTCGAGTCACTCTGTGATCCTGACGGGACCATTTGCTGGTA